TTTACTTGATATTGATTCTTTACTATCCCACACTTCTCCAATCGGTATCTTTTTTTAAAAATGTTGATGACAAGTTATTGATATCAGAATCTGACTGGAGCAATTTTGTTTATCTCGTCAGAATATGTCCGGGCCATTAGTTTTTGAACCTGGCCCCATCCGTGCCATGGATGCTGACCTTGATGTAGCAACCAATGGACCTATACAGTACACGTTATCTGACGGTGAGCATTGAATGTAATGTTTAAAAAGGCCCGGTGCTATTTCACTGTGCCACTAAGCGCACGATTTTACGTTAACAGTGGCTCCTTTCAGTATTTCATGAAGACTGTAAGTAGTCTTAAGCAAGGAAAAAGCGTGTTTACCTTGGAGGGAGAAATTTGCTTAACATAATGAGGAAACAGTGCAATCTCTATGCGCATGAAACCATAAGAAAAACTGCACCACGCATCGCCATGAAGGAGTGCTGAAGGTTAGCAAAATTTCCTGCTCTAGTAAGCAAGACTTTTTTCACTGACTCGCGAAATGAGGAGGGCCTGATGTTTTGATGGTAGCAGAGTCTTTCTCGAAGGCAACATTTTGCCGCTTGACTGTTAGACACCAGGGGCTCAGGTTTATGCTGCACTCTCACCCAGCCAGCACACCCATCCTTACACAGCTGTACTTATTATATTGCCTTTGTTCTCATGTACAAAGCTCCTACACAACACGCAAAATATTTTTAATCACTCCAATTTAAACCAAATTCACTTTCCTGGGGTTGAAATTTTGACCGTATTGTCCCTTATATAAAACTCTTCATATAAAACTCTGCGACAGATTTTTACCCATCAAAATTTTTCCCTTGTTGAGTTATTTCCAAATATCAGTTTTGTGAAATTCTTAAGGTAAAAAGTGGCCTTGTGGGGTACTTCCCATTGTTCCGGTACCCCACAAGGCCCCATGTATAAGCACACCAGACCAGGCATGGGTTAGCCCAGCCCTGCCCTGCCAACCCATCCCAGGGCCATGCAGTGTCAGCCAGGGGCTGGCATTGTTCCCTGAAGCCTTTTGTTATGACCCCGTCATTAACTCGCTCACAGTTACATGTATGTCCACTTAACTCTTCAATGCACACTGAGCCTGGCATCATTGTCATCCTGAAGCTCACGATATGCTACAGTACAACCAGTGTTGTATTCGAGTCCCATCACAGGCCCTTTCATAGGTCCAGGCACAAGCCCCTTCACAGCCAGTCATAAGTAATGGGTGAATAATGACAGAAGCTTGCTTTTGCTGCTATCCTTGTCACTCGAGTACCTTGTGATTTGACTTAAAGACTGAATGCCTTGTGGTGGACTCGAATACAACTCTGAATAGAACACACGGCTCATAACGTACCGGTGGCCCATTCCATAATACACGTCACAGTCTCTTGAAATGTCTACATTAGTTTAATTGTTAAGTAGAATAGTTTTTATCTGAGTCGCTCAAAAGTAATGGGGCATATACATGCAAGCAATTTGAGGCAAAACCTGCCACCGACCAAGCCTGATATTTCTGCACACTTTGGCCGCCCGTATTTGTTTTCTAGCACCTCCCTCAACAGATTCTGCATGATTTGAGCCACAACTGACTAAGTTGATGTAGCAGCATAAAATGAAATCAGTTAATAGTCTATTTAAATGAGAAATTACATGCATGTAGAAATTGAACCCAACTCTGTATCTCTAGCTCTCTGGAATGCTAACTAGTATGCATTTGCACACAGTGTCGATGGTTATGCTGATATAGTACTTTGGTTGCTAGGGGTATAGTACTTTGGTTGCTAGGGGTATAGTACTTTGGTTGCTAGGGGTATAGTGCTTTGGTTGCTAGGGGTATAGTACTTTGGTTGCTAGGGTATAATACTTTGGTTGCTAGGGGTATAGTATTTTGGTTGCAAGGGGTATAGTACTTTGGTTGCTAGGGGTATAGTGCTTTGGTGGTTAGAGGCGAACATGTACACAAGACGACAACTAAAATAGCGATGGCTATGTAGCTGCCTGTCGGCCAGTCAATGTGGGTGAGGTATTGTTATAATGCGAGAGAGCTCTGTTGCATGGTACGTTTATCATTTTCTTTGCTCATGGCCGTAGGCTTCCCACCGGAGTACATAGACTACTTCAGGATTGATTCAGAGACCGGCGAGGTGTTCCTACTGCAGCCTGTCTACAGAGCAGACTTTAAGGAGTTCACTCTTCAAGTCACGGTAAGAAAGACAAGTGACTTCAATCTACCTGCCTGTGTGAGAGAAATCATATTCTTACAAATGGGTCATTAGGGAGACATTTTGTGGTAAATTTTTCGACCTTAGGGAGGCATTTCAATGTCTCTCTAATGCCCGAGCAACCAGAAGGAGGCCGAATTTTGAGAGATGATAGATTAGGGTCTAAATTGAAAACATACAAAGTTTGGTTCAGATAAGATTAGGGAATATTTAATTATGGGACGGTAAAATTTGTGCACATCCTTATGGGAATGTCTCCCAAGTGACCCATTTTTGGTAATTCTTATTTTGGAAGTCATTTTCAATTTTGTTCATGGTGATCAATACTACTCTGGAATTTAAGTGTGAAGTGCTTGGAGACTTATAATAATATCATAATATTTATGATGAATTGATACACAGTATAAAACATGGTCTAGTGGACCATAAGTTGCCGTCACATTCATGGTGTTTTCCTGGTGGTTGTAACATTTTTGCCATGCCTATATGACCAGTCAACAACCTGTTCCTCGTGCGCGTCAGCATGGAGGCTGAAACTGGATTGGAAGCACCGTAGACTGGTCTCTCTTTTCACATAAACATCAACTGCCATTTGAATGTCAAAACTGACAGTTTGATTTGGCTCCATGCATTTTTGATTTGAAGAGGGAATAACTCTGTATTAATCCTCCTGTGCAAAGATCATACATTCTTGACACAGTTGCCATATCAGTGAAAATCAGTCAAATTTTCCCTATGTGTCTGTGTACTGGGGGAAATCAATTGGAAGGCATTTTTTACTGTTTTTGACGGTTTTTACAGCAGAAGGGGGGTAAAGCACATGTACATGCTCTTATGGTTTCAGTCCATTTGCAACCATGTTCACTTGCTCCCATGTGCAAAATTTCTTTGGCAGCTGAGAGGCTTGCAGAAATTTATAACCATTTGGGTTCACTGTGTTTTGTGTCATATAAACACCAATTTTTAATAAGGGAATAAATACGTGTTTGGCTGGTCATAAACGTGCATTTAAGACTGGCTCAAGAGAATGGACACGACTAATGCCCGAGCCGCAGACAAGGGCATTATCAGCATTCATTCACCTGATCCGGTCTTAAACCTTACACTGACTTGACGCATGCATGGGCAAGCTCTTCATTCCATGGCATACGCAGACTCTTAACCCCTAGGAATGGATTAAACTGTCTCGTATCCAGGTGCTAGTGTGTTTTTTATGCAGCAGGCATTGCTACATCTCAGCGGGCATTATCAGATGTTAATACACTGTCAAGTTGCGCACTATCTGTCCAAGGTATCTATCAATATCCATTAATGACTGGGTAGAATGGAGAAAATCAATTCAGCCAAGTAGAGTTGATCATTATGCAGTCCGACCCTTCAGTTTGTAGGGAAAGGTAGAGGCCTTTATGAGAGAGTAATGAGGCAAGTTCCATTGAAATCAAAGGAAATGACATCTTATTTGGAGACAACAAATAAAGATATTTTTAGAAAGATCAGCACGATATGCGGGAGTTCCGAAAATTGATGGTCCGAAAAATAGTCAAGCCAATTGTTGACGTTCTTGTGATTTCTACAGGCCAGCGAGAGCCCTGCAGAGGGCGGTTTGTACGCTATCACCTCTGCGACTGTCACCGTTCAAGAGGTCAACGAGCACCGGCCCGTCTTTGCCCAAGACTACTACCAGGGTTATGTCTATGAGAACTCACGGATCGGCACCCAGGTCAGCATGTCCAATCGGTCCACAGTGCCCCTCAAGCTGCACGCATCAGACATGGACATCGCACAAGTAAGGAAACATTCTTTCACTAAATGAAATTGTGGTGTCTAGTGATCATCCATGCTTTAAAGTGGCAGTCTTGCAGAAAAACCATTAAATTGCTATATCTTTCTGGACTTGCATCGCTACAAAGAAAGACCAACCTTGAGGTACAGATAATCAGTGCCCATGTACATATTTACCAGTTCGTCCTTGGGCAAAATGACCAATTGTGGAAAATTACCCTGCTCAAGGACATCAGCTCAAGCCATTGGCTTGAAAAACCTGTTGGCTTGAAGAAAGCTTCACTCACACTCAGTCAGAGGTTATGACTGCGACTGCTTGTTTGGCAATCATAATGGCAGGTATGCTTTCCATATATTCCAAAGTGAGTGACTTGGAGGAGTAAATCACTTCTTTAAAAACTATAACAGGAAGAGGTTTTTCCCTGTAGGGTCGTCCCCTCATGCTCAGCTATTACTTATCTGACGCCACGGCTCATTTCATCCTTGAGGCTGGTCCGGATGGCTCATTTGCGTACGTTGTTGTCAGTAGCAACCAACTGGATCGGGAGGTAGCCAACAATTACACCATCAGGGTAAGTGAAGAGTTGTCAAGTAGGTTTCAGAGTGGCTGAAGTTGCATACGGCTGGGTATGGTCGTCAGAGTGCAGGTGCATCAATTCATTCTCAGAATACTGATTAGACATGAGTTTCGGTATTGGTGCGTGACAGTTGCTCCTGTCTGAGACAGGATGCTGAGCAAGAAGCGATGTGACAGAAGTTCTGGGACCAATGTTTCAACTCCACATCCGAAATAACCAGCTTGATTGACGGTGTTGATGCAGAAATATCCACAGTTGCATTAGTTAGAGGTGCACTGTGAACTTTAAACATACGGGTGCTGTCAGCCAGTGAAGAATCATAACACGTAGATTTGTCCTCGTGCACACCTTCACCCAAGTTTTCTCCGTTAGCGTGTCCCAACATAATACAAATTCACAATTAACTTCTTCACACGCTAGGTTTTAGCGGTGGAAAACGACACCTTTGCCCTGTTTCAAAGCGAAGAAGCCGTCGTGGATATCACAGTGTTGGATGTTAATGACAAACCCCCTGAGTTTGTGCCCAATGAGTACAGCACTGGCGAGAACCGATACAGAGCTACAGTGGAGGAGAACGCAGAGGCGGGCACCGTAATCATGACAGTAAGCCAAATCAGAATGGGTAGTCAAGAATGTTTCCATATCAACGTAAAGAGATGCAGACAGCATCACTAAACAGTCCCTGGTGATTCTCAATCAAACGGAAATACCTTGTGGCGGAATAGTGCATGGATGTCACAAAGTCGACCGAGTTGGATCTCGTCCGAGTTGGATCTCGTCCAAGTTGGATCTCGTCCAAGTTGGATCTCGTCCAAGTTGGATCTCGTCCAAGTTGGATCTTGTCCAAGTTGGATCTTGTCCAACTTGACTGACTGTCTGTGTCGAGTCGTGTCAGTAGGCCCATGCAAACACATGTTGGCATGATGGTAGTAGGACCATGCCCCTCAAGTCAAATGAAGTACATGAAATTGAAGCACTGTTTAAGAGTCAAGAAATGATATTACCTCCTGTAAAAAAAAAGGCATTTCCTGTTTTCAGAATTGCAGATGCCATATTGCTTTCAGTTTTGGGGCGGGGGGGTAGAGCTAGGTTTGAGACAGGGGTCCACATCAATGAGTGTAATCCTCTACAGTTTTACCCAAAATAAACACATACAAACTGGAAAGCCGATATTAGTGTCCCTTGGACAAGCCTTTTTCATAGCCTCCAGGTGCAGATCCAGGATTTTCCAAAGGAGGGGGGGGCTTGAACTAAATCAGCTTTGGTAAAATGCCCAGAAGTACGAAGCCCTTAGGTCTTGGGGTTTGGGGCCTGCTGTAGATCCCCGGGACATTTTGGATTCTAAGTGCTGCAATCTCAGGCAGTTTGACCCCTTTTTATGTCTTAGTCACATTGATGAGGCTGGGTCCCTTCCTCTTTTTTCCTTCCTCCTCCCTTTTTTTCACCTTTTTGTATTTATTAATTTTATTTTTTTTTGGTGAAACAAGGGAGGGGGAACGTGTGCCCTTCGTGGCATCCCTGGATCCACCCCTGGTCTCTTGTTTCATTTTAGACATGCAAGGTTGACATGTCGTTGCTTTTGACAAAAGAAAGTTTTTGTTTGACCTGTGAATTTGTGCAAGATATTCCTGTTAATCAAGTGTCCCAATTTTCTCTTGTTTTGTCCCAGCTATCAACAACAGACATGGACTTGCCTCCTTACGAACCTGTCGAATTTGTCATCAACTACATTGACAACGACGGTGAGACTAAATTTGGCCTGGCACAGTCCATGCCCAGCTCCGTCAACATCATCCTTGAGGAGAACGGAACCATCTTAGAAGGAGAGGAGTATAGCATCTCTATGCAGGCTATAGATGGTGGAATAAGTAGCTTAATGTAAGATTTCTTTATTTAGTGCCACTAAAAACCAACAGCGGGCAAATTGCCATTTAAAGGTTCAGCATTTGATGTTGTATTATAAAAATGGCAAAAATCTAAAATAAGATGCAGTCACCTTAGAAACAGAAGGAATGCCGCTATAACAAACATGACGGGGTCAATACCGTTGGCAGATTAACCATGCGTGCCCTGGCAGTTACTAGGCGATGACTTTGAACAAGTGCAGGCCAATGCACCCAGTTTCTCAGCTAGTTAATCACAATTAACTCTTCAACAACTAGTGACTTTCCCTTCTAATCCTTGGGGAAATAATGGCCACTTGTCACTTTCCAACATAAAAACTGGACTTTTTTTATCAAGTTGATGTTCAGGAATTACACACGCCAGTTGCATAGGGTTTGGTAGGTTTTGTGCACAAAATATTGGGAGCCAAGGATGATGTTCGTTACAGCCGAATGTTCGGTATATCGGTGTTTGGTATAGCAGCGTTCCACTGTATTACAAACTAACCTCAAAAAAGATTTAAAAATTAACATCTTCAAATATTACCATAAAAAGAAAATGAGATTATTACTGATTAATGAAAGTTTCTCTTACTTGTACAGCTCTCCATCAAAATAATGATTTTTTACCTTTCACTTCTGTATTGCTTAAGATCTGTCAGAAATTCAGTCTAATTGGAGATGTTCTTCACCATAATGTAAACCTACATTTTGTATTCGTTTCTTCCAACAGGTCAGAATTTGCGTACATTGAGATCACCGTTCTGCCGGCCAATGTCAGCCACGCGCCAACCTTCGAGCAACCTGTGTACGAGGCGTCGGCGAGCGAGGGCCTACCAGAGGGAGCATTTGTTACGACTGTCACGGTAAGACATTCAGGAGTTTACTGCTACTTGTAACATCATGGGCGTTGCCAGGATTTTTTGTCGGGGAGGGATTGAGCACTTATTGTAAGCCATTAATGGTGGGGGGGGTCAGTTCTGACTTACTTGCAAACAAAGTGACCTTTGTTGTTCTCTTTTCCTCCTTTTTTCATTTACTTTGCCATTTTTGCCGTTTTTACTTCTCCCCTGTTTTCCCGGTGGGTGGTTGAGTACGGTACCCCATGCCCCCTCGAGCTCCCCTGGCATGGGGGGGAGGGGGCCATGCTGACAAATTTGAAACTCGACAGCAAAGAGGAATCCTCAGAATGAAAGGTTGCCAGGGAATTGGAACTATATTTGGACAAACTAAACGCTCGAAAACATCGAGTTATTCCCGGTTCTTCTCAGAACCACACATACTCCAGAAAGAGATTGATCCATGGTGTAACCGCAATCGTTTGACTCATATAGTTCTTTCACCATGAAAACCTTCAAGTCTTAAACTAAATTTCATCATGCAAAATGTTGACTGATTGCTTGGCCAGTGGACAACTTGACATGTTCTGCTTAATTCTTCAAGACATTTTCAAAATGTGTAATATCGAGTGGAGGGCGAGTTCTCGGAATTTAGAAAGTCTGGATAATTGTTCTTAGGCCACTGACAGGGATGAAGGGGACACTGTATACTACAACATCACCGCCGGAAACATCGACAATGTCTTTACGGTGGACTCTGGAAGGTATGTGCCAGTGAAGTTGAGGTACTCGGAATTGGATTCGTAAAGTACCATGATGATTTGTGCTAAAAAGTGGATTGGATTTGATATGTCAATCACAGAAAAAGTTTTTAAAAAGCCTGGGCAGTTACTCAATGACTTTGTATCTCAAATATCAGTTCACGGTATTTTGGTGTAAGTTCTTTCATTTTGTTGTGGATTCATTTGTGTCTAGATTTTCCTTATTGACGTTTTTAAGTTCATTCGCATGTGAGTTAGTGGGTTTTTTCCCATTTCAGTGGTGAAGTCAAACTTGTTGGCACGCTAAACAGAGAAGCTGTGGCCAGCTATGAGTTGACCATACAGGCCAGTGATGGAGCCCTTGTAAGTATCCAGTTTGTTTCGTTTTTCACCGTCCCGTTTCTTAAACCTCATCTTTGATTAGTAGTTACCTCAACTTGGGTGGACCTATTTCCAAAGTGAAGGGGGGGCATGATGCGTAAGCCACTTAGAGACCAATCCGTTATAGCCCCACCCCATTGTATTCTGATTAAGAGTGGGAGGACCATGCCCCCCCTGTCAAAAAAATGGAGGGCCACAGCCTGCTTCACCCTCATTCCAATTCCCCCCCCCCCCCCCCCCCCCCCCCCCCCC